ATCCCGATGTTTTGCGCAAAATAAAATTCCAAAATTCATTAAATTTATGTTTTATAGGTATTAAACAATATCTTAAGAGCAGGTTTTGGTATATTATATTACATGAAAGTATCAAATAATGCAGAGCGAAACTAGCTTTTGAGACGGGGGTCTAACAGTTTTGTCTCATTTCTATTGTTATTCATATGCATACCAGTTTTCAACGACTTTGTTTACATCGAGCCGCAACTTGGCCATTTTTCTTATTTGCACAGAATATGTATTTTAACTTAAACTTATACATATCCAAAGGACAATGTTGGCCAAGTTGCGGCTCATATCTAATTTTCAAAAAAATTTCCCCAAAGTAGGGTCGAGATAGCTAGTAAATTAACCGGTCACTGAGCAACAACGATTGATATTATAATCACCTTTCTCACGTGACCTTCTGCTGTTCGATACGCTAACGCTTTCATTGAAAATTTCATTGTATTTAAGTCTCTGTTGTGACATTATCTTTCGTACTTCCAACTTCAAACTATGCGAGATTTTTGCGCAAATTTTAATGGGGTTTGAAGATAATGTGTCTCTTATTTACATGGAACATTATGCTTTTCATTAGGGGTGTTTTGAAAGAATTCTGGTATTGACAGTGTCATTAGTAAGTACATGTTTAGGCTTATGTCGCCTTTGTATTACGGTCTGCCGAGCGAGACATCTATCCCATCCCTTAATAATAGAGTCATTTAATAATTGTGCACCATAAAATCAAGACGATCTCTCTCTCTTTCTCTCTTCTCCGATTCAATTTGTAGTGCGAAAAAAGTCATATGTGCTAATGTTGACATTCCACAACCATGCGGTTTAAATGTCTCCGCCTATTTGTGAATACCTTATACTCGAAAGTGGTCCCGTCCAAATTTCCGGAATTTAAGGCTTTTACATGTTCTTTTTAATTACATTTTCTGTAATTATAGAAATATGTTTGACAAAAAATTCTAGAAATAAATATCAAAAGCATATACTTGCACATTAATCATAGATTAATTTAGCGATATATTGTAATGTTAAGCTTAAAATGGGTAGCCGAAAAGGTTCCAAATGGCGTACTTAAGTGCACTCATTCTTTGTATGCTTAGTGTCCTCTATGGTTTATGATGCGTTTCGATCTACTTTAAAATGATATTTTTTCCTCTACAGGTTTCTCCCAAATATACGGCATTTCACTTCTACCCTAGAACAACTTGTCATTGACTGTATGGATTTAAACAGTGATATATCCTCAAACGCAAATATGAGCTTTTTTCGAGAATTTGTTGAAATTGTTTGGATAACCGGGATTTACACTTTGTGCTTATTTTAAAGTACTGTACAGGTGAACATCTTTGTTTTAGGCTATTTGAGTACCTCAAGTGCTCTATTTCAATTCTGATTTTTAGGTCACCTGAGTAAACTCAAGTGAGCTTATTGCTATCTGTTTTTGTCCGTCTTAATCAGCCGTGTGTTAACATTTGAACGTTTTCCGCTTCTTCTCTGCAAGTCCTCAACCAATTTCAACCAATTTTGGTACAAAGCATCCATGGATGACATGAGTCATGCAAATATTCTACATTTGTCAATTTTCCCCTTTGTGTGTCACAGTATCACTATTAAAAATCTCTGCTTCTAGGTATTAAACCTATAAACTAGGTACATTTGTATCGAATTAAGTAATAAAGCGTAAGTTTTAGCAATCCCTGCCAAATTCTTCAAAATTACTGGTAAAATTGTACGGATATAATAAACTCGGATATAGCGAATTTATGGCTATGGGAAACTGGTTTCGGGTCCCGTAGAAATTAAATATACTGAAAGGAAAAAGAAACGCAGACTAGCAATAATATTCGAAAAATTTTGAATCGCATGACCGAAAACAAATCAGTGTTCAGAATTACTCAATCGTAAAATGTATGACGTCAAGTAGGGAAAACGCTAAAAAACCTAAAACCCGTACATTTTGATGACGACGAGTTTGTCAACAAAACTTATTGCATCATTTGATGCAACTTAGGTATACACTTTGTTTTTAACTATTTAGAGACGATATGAATTTCTTGCAATCTTGGTAGAGTTTACGGAAGTTGGGTTACTTGTTACCCATTGTCAGAGAGGGGCCATGGAATGGCTTTCAATCAACCGTGACGATCACGTTAATACGAAACAGAGTCAGGTTTCCAGCGGATTATTTGTCCTGCCATCACTTCAATCGTCAACTCACTTCCACTAAAGCTACCCTTCATAAAGTACACTATTATTATCATTACATTGACACGAATCATGAAAGAAAACAATTCCTCAATTTAATTTTTTGAGCCCGTCAACTTACTGTTGTGTACCTCTCACTGGCGCATGCACGCGTCGTATCACAAATTGTTTTGCGTACAGTCAATTCTCGAATTATCGCCATTCGATTCATCACCATTTTCGCAATACCGCCATGATTTCCCAAGAACGTTTTTCGTGCTATATAAAATTCTCTTTATAACGCCAAATTCGCATACCGCCATCCGCCACCCTGTTTTCAAAACAAACGTCCATTTTTAAGTGTCAATTATCTCGATATACCGCCACAGGTGTGTGCGGTCAGTGAGGTGCGACTAATTGGTTGACAAGTTATCCCTGTCGTAAAGCATGCAAAGCCAAACAAGGTGCGAACAAGTAGATAATTAAATTAGAGTAAAATGAACAAATAAATTTAAGATGAACTGTTACAATGATTTTGTTCTGTTGTTTTGTTTAAAAAATCTTTTAGTAATGGCTTCGCCACGAAAGCAGTAGCTGTTAAATTACGCCGAATACGATACTCTTTTGATGATCTCCGCTTTAAACAATGCAAAGTTTGCTTAAAAATAATTATACGGTATAAATTGTGAACATTTCACTAACAATGATTTCATAAATTTATTCAAGAAACCATTTTACTTACTGTCAGCAATATATCACGACGATCGACCCAGCATGTTTTCTTTTTTTCAATATCAGACGTGCTGATTTCCATGTACATAAATGCACATGTACTTGTCTTTATTTCATAACTGCACATTTTGTTTTAAAGAAATTGTACATAAAAAATAACTTGAAGTATTTTAAAATTTAAAAATATGTTTAAAATAAACATGTAATTATAAGAAAGGAAACGTTTTATGGTATTTCTAAGAACGGTAACTCTAATTCTTGTTTCTTAAAAGATGGGAAATTCAAATCATCGCCAAATTCGTTATACCGCCATGATTTCTAAATTACAAAAGGTGGCGGTTTATCGAAAATTAACTGTACTTGCCCATGCTCAATAGAGCTGGGGATTGAAAGATAAAACTGATGGATTAAATGCACAGGAGAAATAAGGCCCATGACAGGTGCGCGGGAGAGTCATTGAAGATAATGAGAGTTTTGATTTTCACTTTTTAGGGTTTCGTCATATGAGCTTCAATAACCCATGAGTTATTACGCTGGTATGTTAAGGAAGCAAATAAATCATTTCTCGAGAAATTTAGACTTTTGAAAGAAAATTAAGTTAGATAATTCACCAAAACCATTGAAAAACGCAACCTTTTATTAACTATTGCCTAAAGATGAAAGAGCGTCTAACGCTATGACGTGCGCCACTACCACTACAGCATGTGATTTCTATTAATAGCAAAAGGTACCTTAGTAAAAAAGCTAACAGAACAACAATGCCCCGGAGTTTAATAAATTCTGTGAGTAAATAACATTGTCGAAAAACGTTTATTTTGCCTGAAAAGTGCTGCTTGAATCCCACTGTCCTGTCAGTAAAATAATTATAACACACATTTGCACGAAACCTTACATTACATTTTGTATTTTATACATATGAACAAGGAATTTTCGTAAAACCTTGCTTAACTCGAAATTCTAGCAGCACTTTTCAAGTATTTTATAAGGCAAACTTTCCATCTGTACAAATCTTACGTTTTGAAATATCCAGCTTATTGTTGTTCTATGGCATTATTTTTTTCACGAATGATCAAGGAAAGGTCGACTAAGATACTTATATAGCGGACTGTGTTACAAAAGAGAATATAATTGATGAAAATAAATAAGCCTACCTGTTTATTTAACTGAAGTCCATATGCATTTCACATAATATTCCCGATATCTGTTTTTAAACTTCATTTTACGTATCTCTGTAAATGCCGTATTAGCCAAATTCTCTTTACACAACATGATCAATTTCAAAGTTACTCGATTTACACATATGACGTCATCGTTGTTAGATTTTAATCAAATTGACAGATACAGACAAATACAGAATAACAAAATAAAAACATTGTATTTGATGTTAATCTTTACACGTTTCAATTTCTTTCCTAGAGTTAAATTACATCTCTAAAAACTAATATTACGAAAACCTGTGCTTTAAAATTGACGTCATTTCGCCCACTATGACGTCATATTGTGTCACTGACTTAGTCAAGGTAGAATTATTCTGTATGGTTCCTTATCACCCCTGCGTATACAAAATCAAATGGGATTTTGGTTTTATCTTTTTGAAAAATTATTAAAAGTTAGATAGAAACACGGAACACTGAAAAAAATTAAGAAAACATAATTTTAATTCACCTGAAAAGATTACCTTACGCTTCTTTTCCTTTCGGTATATAACAAAATTTAATTATCATCAGACTAAAACTCTAGGCGGAGTAGCGTTTAAAATTGTTTACAGACAGATGAACAGACATACAAGTAGACGACAGACACCTAGCTATGGCAACGTTAAAAAAAAAACTGGAATTTTTAAAGTGTGTCAAAATTGGTACAAAATCAACGCACTTAATTTTTGAAAAGTGTGTTGAAAAATGTACATAAACAATATTTTCCATGGAGGTACTAATAGCACTATGAAAAATAAAATTTCCTGACTAAGATTTACTTTCTGATGATTCATTCGTACAACCGGTGAATTAAATTGCCCTTATCGAAAATGGAGACCAGAAATGTAGAAAAACACTTTCATTCAGCCCCCTTTTTTATTTTTCTTTCCAAAATGTTATCACATTTTCTCATAAGATTTAAATTGACTAACAATTAATGAAAAGGAAAATGAACAAAGCTTTTCTTAAAAAAAAAATAACGCTCCATATCAATTGAAGCTGAGGAGCCATCTCATATCGAAGATCTTAGCAAGAATTGCCAATTGACTAATCTCTGGCGAAAGAAACTTTTCGACATCAAATACAAATCACAAAATCAAATTTATGATTAATTTATAATCATCTAAATACTTATCTAAAAAATAACAAGCTGTTAAATAAAGGCCACTTTCTTGAGAATAAACAACTTTTAAATACGTATCAAATATATTTAAAATGAACGATGTTGTGTCGGAAAATTGTTTTCATTGAGCATACAAACTTAGATTCCATTTTGCCACATTTCTTGCATTCTTATAAGCGTCTATATTTCAGATCCTTATGTCACGTCTTCATGAAAAAATTATCTAAAAGGGTTCCAATCATTCTTTATTATATCTTAAACAAAGCAGAATATGACTAGGCCGTGCTTATTTTTTAATATGATCTATATTAACGCACTTTGAAAATAAAATGTATATTTATATTTATGCATTTCATGTTACTGGATCCCAAATTTAATGATTTTTCAAAGTGCGTTGTAATACACACCTAGCTATCGCATGAATTTTTCTTGTTGTCCACCAGTAGAGCTAAAGTAATGCTTTATAGGATATTAATTATAATTATCAGCCATCAGTAATCCAAAAGGTTGACCAAGATTACGTCTGTAAACTCAGTATAGGATTCAGTACAGGATGATCACAAAGGTATTTAATTTTGATTGATGTCAGGCGAGCTTACAGAAGACCTGGTCGTATATTCCTCCTTAATTTCTTGAACTTGAGTTTTCAGAACCCCAACTTCCGTTTGAACTTGCGTTCTCAAATTTTCATTTTCTACTTGAACCTCCGTTCTCAAGTTTCCAACTTCCCTTTGAACTTCTGTTCTCAAGTTTCCAAATTCTGCTTGAACTTCCGTTTTCAAATTTCCAACTTCCGTCTTTAAATTCCCAACTTCTATTTGCACACTATGTAATGAAGACTGAATGTTTCTTTGCTGATTTTGAACATCAGTTATTGACATTTGTAATTTAAGCAGTATTGCTTCTAAACCTAGCTCGGACGATGCATTACTTTGTTGTGATAAGTGAGAACTTGAAGGATTTCCCGACGATCTAGATGTGTTTTCAGAGGAAATTGAAGGACCTGGCTTTAATATATGAGGAAGACCAAAAGAATCTAAAATTCTAGTCATTGGTGTTACAAAACAGGTTCCTTTCGTTGTAGAACCTATGGCCATCCCTATACAACTCAGTTTCTTATCAGGGTTGATACAAAACACAAAGGCTCCAGAATCACCAGGCTCAAAAAATGTTCCATGAGGAAGGCTCTGAATTTCAATTTGGTTACACATTACAGCAATAGTATTGTCTGGCAAGTTTCCAGTATCGTCCACAAAGCGGATATGTGCCCCATTAAAGTAAAGATTTCCAATAGTAAATCTTGTTTTACTACCGTATTTTACGACACTGTCTGATTTATCTGGTATTCTGCTGCTGACTTTAGAAACAGGATCAGGATCTGGTACATTAACAACTTCGCCAGTAAACAAAGGCGGATTGTTTGGGTCAAATCCTGTAATTGAAAAACAAAGTTATAATTAAACATATCTAATTCTATTTGAATCTTCATAAAATGCTCTTTTAAACTATAAACACTTTTCTCTTTGAATCTTCAGTAAACAATTTAACAAAAATAGACAATTTACATTTTAAAGATCTTTCCTATGGATTTCCCTATTATTGACCGCCCTTTTCCCAGTGCCATCCTTGAACAATTTAGAATTAACACTACCCAAGGATGCTTCCACATACTAAGTTTTAGCTTTTCTGGCCAACTCTTCTTGCGAAGAAGATTTCTAAAGATCTCTCCTATTTATTTCTATGTAAAACTTGGATCCCCTATTGTGGCCCTACTCTACCCTACCCTACCCTGTGGGTCATGATGTCAACCATAGGATGCTTTCAAAATGTTTCACTTTTTCTGGACCAATGATTCTAAGATCTTTTAATGACCCACCCATTTTTGTCTATTTTTATTATCTCCCCTTGAAAGGAGAATAGGTCCTTCATTTTAACAATTTAAATTTCTAATAACAAAAGGGTGCTTTAAACCAAGTTTGATTAAAATATGCCAAATGATTCTTGAGAAGAAGTTGAAGATATGAAAAATTAACACACGGACGGATACCTAGACAAACGGACGATAGTCAATTGCAACGGGTGATCAGAAGAGCTTTTAGCTCAAGTGAATTAAAATCAAACCCAGCAAGGGCATTCGGTTTGTCTTATCCACTTCCTTCCTCAGATTCTTTGGTGACTAAAGAGAACAAGAAATTTTCAGAAAGCTTACCTGCTGAATAAAGTTGATCAGTAACTGGAAATTCAAATTCATTAACAGTTGGGTCAAGTTTGATCAAAGCAGCATCAACTGAATTGTTGACTGATGATGATGGAAAACTTTTATTCACAATGGTGCCACACACTTGAAAATTATGCTGAGTCTTATCAAAAAATTCTACGTTTAAATCGATCCCTTTGCCCAGTACAAAGTTAAGCATTTCACTATTTGGTATTATTAATTCATCTGATGAAAATACAACATGAGCACACGTTATTAAACCAAATAAACCATTTGGCAAATCAACAAAACCCCCAATGCTTCCATTTCCAGGCGTGTTAATTCCTCTTGCACGACGGATATGTCCTCCAAAGTCTATAGATCTACCACCTCCAAAAGAACAATATCCCTCCTGCACGTCTACATCAAACCCATTGATTTGTTTTGGAAACTCTCTTTCTCCAATTGGTATAAATCCTTTATGTAGACATAATAGACTAATACATGGTTTTTCGACAACCCTATGCTTTCCTTTTGAATACCCTATTGATTTAAATGGGGATGCTGATATCAGTGTGAGGTTAGAATGCTTCTTAAAAAGTTTTCTTGCTTCATTTTCTGCAATAACAGGCAAGTTTATCGCGAAAGAAGAAGCCATAAAGGAATTACATACAGTATATGCCTCATCAGATGGTTGTGTATAGTTATACAGTACAAGATCAATCCCCATGGCTTTCTCCGGGATTCCATCTTTCATTTCTATAATTCCATTGTATGACATTATCATCACAAGAGTTCTTTCTTCACTACATACATAGCAAAACGACAGACTGATTGCATTTTGACGAAGCCTTGGGCATCTTCTTAAAATCATGCATTTCGCTGTTTGCAGGAGTGTGGCAATGACGGCAGAATTTATATTCTTATTTTCAAAACGTCTTTGCAAATTAAAATCAAAACTGAATATGTATAACCTTACAAGCTCTAAAATTAATATGTGATTTTTGTTTTCAATAGCGTAATCCATGCAGTGATCAATAATCAGAAGCACATTTTTTGGTTGGATCTCTAATATTTCTTCTTTTATATGTGCAGCAAATAATGTGGATAAAATAGATCGACATTTTGCAGACTGTGCTTTTTGGAAGACCTCATTACAGTCTTTCATCCAGTTCAAAAAATCATCAACCTGGATTTGAGAGAAATCTGTCATCTGCTTTTCGCTTTTACTAAAATCTAGACCTGAGCAGTCCAGGTAATCCACTCTCTGAAGGGCGTCCTCATATTCAGTAGTTTTTGTCTGATTTCTATGATACTGTTGAGGATAAGTTTGTTCAATATTGATAGAATCAACTAGTTTTATTATTCTAATTTGAGCATCTCCATTCCTTTTGAATTGTACGGTTTTGTTCTCGAAAGACGACAATTTTGTTTGAAATGAGGTCTTTTCTGCAAACTCTGCAATGAAATAATTAAGAAAAATAATATGTTCTACGGTGCGACCGTTGGGCGAGCGCAGTGATTTACTATCAAAAACCTTTACTCAGCGTTAAATTGAACTTCCTATCCTAAATTCATTAGAAAAAATCACTTCCCACGGGATCGAGATTCCGAACTTTTCGGAAGTTTCCAACAAAATAGGAAATACCCGAAGTGACGAAAGTATGATGTCAAATAAAAAGTCCTGTTGACTTAGGTCGCAAACGGTAGTTTTGTGGCATGGAGATTGCATTAAATCGTTGTTTGTAATTATTTCAAATAAGTTGATGCTATGTTTTAGCCATCATGTTGCTATGCACCGCAAAGGATTATTGGGAGTTTGGAATTTTTCACGCGGTGAGATAAAAATTTCTTGGAACAATGTGCAGATTTCAACTTGAATTTCCTCCGTTCGTACTCGTAAGTCTATTGAGATCGTTTGCGCCGCCTCGCTGCGCTCGCTAAAAAATCCCCCTTAAAATGCAAAGTAAAACGGATCATCCATTAATTTTTCATCGTTATGAACCTCAATCTGCATTATCTGAGAATGCGTACTTGTTTATATAGCTATTCACAAGCCCTGCTGTTCTTGAGAGTTTTTTCAAAAAACAAACAAAATATTTTAATGAGAATTTAACAGGTTTAAAAATCGTTTTTCCTTTTTCATGTAATTTCACCTGACCAATGGCAATGACATACTTTTGAATCAGTGATGCCAGTGTTAAAATACAGTACATGTATTAACATTTAGTAAATAATACGATCAAATTTAAATCGATTTTAATTATCTCTCTTTGAAATTTGCTATGTTTCTTAATTTCCTTGATTAAATCTAATATAACTTTACCAATTGCAAAGGGTCATTTTAAAATATAACAAACTTTTATAAATTATCCCATCAAATCCCATTCTTTCTTAATCATTTCGTTTGGTTATATTTTATGTGTTACGTTTGAATCTGATATAACTTGACCAAAGCGTAATTTAGAATGTAAAGGATGATGAGCCATTGGCCCGAAAGTAAATTGACAAATGATTCAACGTGTTAAATGTCGACCTTTTCTCTAATTCTGCATACACATCATGATCAATTGTACAGTATGTGTATCCTTATGAAAAAATTAGGGATGTCAAATCGGTCAATTTTTGATACTCGGTTACTCGGACGTTTTTCCGATCGAGTACCCGGGTACTCGGTAAAAGTGTATATAAATATGAACAAGTTAATTGATAACTGTAAAACATTGTAAACTCTTGTAGAAATAAAACCGATGGGAGGTTACCTGCAAATGCGTTGTAACAATTATGACCACTTTGTAACCGACGAAATTTAATCTAACATTTTTTTAAGTTCAATTTATTTATCAGATAAATACGAGAAATAAAATCAGAAATGGTTCACAGTATTTTTGTTTAAAAAATAATCTGTTCCGTAATTGTAATGTAACTCTTTGGTGCGTTTGATGTCCAAGTGATAAGTTGTCTGAGCTATATGTACGGTATAAACTTGATCAAGTTATCCTATAACAGAGCGGATTTATACGATCTTCGTACACTTTTGGAGCAACGATGGACATAAGATTTTAAAAGCATTTGCCTTCAACCATTTGCATTATTAATTGGCATGTAATCAAATGCATCCAAATCAACAATCGCACGTGCAATATCGTCTGTCTCTTTCCCGAGAATTTACGGCTTTTTGGAGAATTGACAAAATTATTTAATTTGTTTAAATATAATGGACCTTAAACGATGTTCAATGAAAACAAATAATTAAAGCAAACTAAATATAAGGGAAGACGACAGTCGAAGGTGAGAAAAGCCCGGGTAGGTACATCAGGTGTTTGGTCACGATAATTACTGTATAAACACTGCCACAGGCGATAACGGTCATTTAGAGGCATAGGAAACCCTAATTACTGTATGTACAAGTGCAATGAACAGTTTACGTTTTAAAACCGATGTTTTAATGCATTAATAAATAAGCTTAGAAATGTTTAAAAATATACATCCGAGTAACCGAGTACCGATTTTAGTATTCGATACTCGGACGTTCGATCGAGTACCCGGTTAACCGGGTACTCGTTGACATCCCTAGAAAAAATACTTTTACAAAAAATAGAAACGTGTTTTTGGAAGATCTAGATCTTTGATTTGGTAAGAGTACCATGTTTACATCTAAATTCCATTGAAGTTTGAGCCAGACCCTCTGTTCAGGAATATGTGCGAGTGCAAGGAGGTATATTTTTTCTTTTTTGAGTTTGGCTCGTCTATATACATGTACTTTCAAAATTTACCTATACGAAGGGTGATCAAAAAGTTCGCAAACTAATTGAATAACATCCATAACAGAAATAATTTTTGGTTTCAGTGTTGATTACCCGGTATATTTTAAATTAATCCTCTCCGAATTCCATGCACATCTGTCACTGTTCTTCACATGCGCGAATCACGTGATATAGGCGGTCACGTTACCCCCTCTGTAGCGTTCTGTCACAAAAGCTGAAAGATTTTTCTGAGTTTTATATTTCTCGCCATGTCTTTGATAGCAAATTGCTTTATTAAAAATACACCTCCTTTTAAACTTGCTTTTACTGGGCAACATAACAGGTATAATTTTCAACCATCTGCCTTCCTTCACTAAACGACCAATCCAATCCTTGATTTAATTGATAAGAAGTCATTTGTCTTAATAAACAATGTACAAATTATTGTACATTACTTTCAAGATTTTTAAGTGAACACTAAATTTTACAGTCGTTTTTTAAACGAGTACGACTGAGACAGCCATTTTTCGTCACAAGTGACCTACAAAGTGACGTCATTTTCACATTGTGACGTCACAAACAAGGAGCAAAACTTTATTCAGCATATGCTATTTATAGAACTTCTGTATGGCTATGATTGATTGATTGTATATTGTTTAACGTCCCTCTTGAGAATTTTTCACTCATATGGAGACGTCACCGATGCCGGTGAAGGGCTTCAAATTTAGACCTATACTCGGCACTCAGGGCCAATGAGCAGTGAGGGTTCTTTATCGTGCCAACGCCTACCGTGACACGGGACCTACGTTTATAAGGTCATATCCTAAAGACCCGTGACTTTCACTTCTAGTGCCGAGCGCTTGGCGAAGGAACAGTCACTACCTTTGTTTACGTCTTAGGTATGACGCGGCGCCGCGATCGAGAATCGAACCCGGGCCTCCCGATCACGAAGCGAACGCTCTACCACTAGGCTACAGTGACCGGTCTGTATGGCTATGTTTGCACCAAATCGTTTACTAATCTGAATTGTAGTTTTGTAGATATAGAGATAGTTTGCGAACTTTTTGATCACCCCTCGTATGTGAAAGGAAAAACTGTTCCTAGTTCCGTCTATATGTCATCTTAAAAACATTGCAAATTTCTATTAATATCGAGTGCAGCAAGATTATCGTGTAAGATCAGAGGAAACTCGAAAATAAATTTGTACATGCGTCTAGCGAAATTTCATGAAAACCTTCCCATATATCCTTTTTCTGGAACTCCGGGCATAAATAATGAATAAATAATTTAACGTAAAGCATAATAGAATTTCAGTTTGTAAAAATCTTTAATAAAAACAAAAATAACACTTTGTGACGCGACATGATCTCAGGAGGGCACTTTTAAAACTAATGTTAATGTATGTCTTTAAAATTATATTAAACATTTGAATATTAATTTATATATACTTCAACATGTATAATTACTCTCACTATTCTTTCATATTGAAATTTATCTTTAAACAACTAATTTAAGAATAAATTTATATATCTCTATTCCTTTCATTTTTTAATATACCAATACAATTACATGTAGCACACCTAGGCTGACATGACAATTATTGAAACAGAAAGAATAAAAAAGGTATTCAAATCCAACATCTTTAATCACAAAAAAGTAAGGTTACACTGAAGATTGATTGATTGATTTTATATTGTTAAACGTTCCATTCGAGAAATTTTCACTCATATAGAGACGTCATCGTATGCCGGTGAAAGGCTTCACATTTATACCCATAGTCGGCACTCAGGGCCATTGAGCAGTCAGGGTTCTTTATCGTGCCAACGCCTACCATGACACTGGACCTATGTTTTTAAGGTCATATCCAAAAGACCCGTGACTTTCACTTCTAGTGCCGGGCGCTTGGCGAAGGAACAGTCACTACCTCTGTTTACGTCTTAAGTATGACGCGGCGCTGCGAGCTAGAATCGAACCCGGGCCTCCCGATCACAAAACGAACGCTCTACCACTAGGCTACCGTGACCGGTGTTACACTGCAGAAAGTAATGGTATGAATCTAGCTGAAACGTGCAAAAATAATGAAAGTTTGGAGGGATGAATTTTTTTACCTGCTTGGACTGTGTTATATGTGTTCTAGTACAGTTAATTTAAACTTTAAACAAAAATTCATTTTTCCAGGAAAGGGTGGAGGGCATTTTTGAAAATACATGTAGAGACCATAATCTTTACTAACAGATATAGTTACCTGAGTTGGGGGGGAACTTTACCAACAGATATAGTCACCTGAGTTGGGGGAAACTCCGGTGAAAACTGGTTACCCCCCCAACCAAAAAAAAAATTAAATTAAATGTCATGCATAAATTTGTTTCTTTTTTTAATAAAAAATATGTCTTACATTAGAAAAATTGGACCTCAGGTTGTAAAATCTATCAGTTCATTCTAAGAAAATAATTTAGTTTGTTGTTTTTAAGCCATTTATCATATTACATTCAGTTCTCGGTACAATATAAGTATTCAGACAAAAAAATCAGCTTTTTTAAACTAGTTGTTTTATTTTACTTCATTTTGTTTACAAAAGAACCCGATTTTAATAAGTTAATAATTTACAAGTTAATTTATCAATGGTCTTGGGCTTATTCTTGCATATTCAATGCAATCAAATGACAGTTTCTCAAGTCAAATCCTTTACACTGACATTCTGAGGCATGTTAACTTTAGATGTAACAATAAGTATATCTTTAAAGATACAACCTCAACTGTCAGACAAGTCTGGTATGCGAAGACTACATAAATCTTGTCAATCAGTTGCCAATTCCATAAAAAAAAACTACTAAAAACATAAAATACAGATACTACACTGATTGTGTCACGTAGCATCTGTTTTCCGTAATCCTTGTGCAAAAAAAAACAAAAACAAAAACAAAAAAAAAACAACAACAAAAACAAAAAAAGCCAGAAATGTCTTTTCATACACAAGAAGATAATCATCAGATTAATATGTTTAAATAACGCACCTTTCTCTTCAGCCAATTCTCTCTTTTCCCTCTTTAAACGTTTTCCTCCACTCTCTTCAGAGTAATCAGGAAGATCTTCGTGGCTCTCTTCAATACCAATCCCAGACAATCCCAAACCAGAGTCCATACGATTACTATCCCCATATATTACAGGTCTATCGCTGCCAAACTTCGACAGACTCGCAATCCAAGACTCTCCGGGACTACTAATAGCACCCTCCTCATCCATTTTATGAGTTCCTAAGCAAGAGTACAAATTATTTTAATCAAGTATATCTTAAATTAGAAATTGTTCCGTGGTATTTCATTTTTATACTATATGCAGACAAGAAAAAAATTATTTCTGCATGTATTTTTTTTTCTACATATAAAAGCAAATAGAAAATTGTTACAGACAAAGACTTCCCTATCTCTTTATGAAATATTACAACAACAAAAAAACATACAAGAAATGATTTATATTTTTAGAGTTTCCTTTGAATACGACATGAAGTCGACCCTTCAGATCAAAACTGTTTTTTTGGCATTATAGGATTTGATTTTAGCATAGGAATTGATCACCTGACAAACTTCATATCATATTCAAGTAAATTTCTAAAAATAATACTGTACGTATACTTAAAAGTACGCTTCACATTTTGCTACTTTGATGCAAATATTGATGAGCTATTTCTTGACTTCCACTAAGATTGATTCGTCATATATTGTTTTATCGTCCTATTCGAGAATTTTCACTCATAAATTCAGACGTCACCGTATGCCGCTGAAAGACTTCAAATTTAGACATATACTAAGGGCCATTGAGCAGTGAAGGCTCTTTATCGTGCCAGCGTATAACGTGAATCAAAATACCCGTGACTTTCATTTCTAAGGCAGAGCGCTTTGGGAATGAGCAGTCTCTATCTATCTTTTCATCTAAGATTTAATGCAGCGCTGCAAACGTGAATCGAACCCGGGCCGCCCCCTGATCATGGAGCGAACGCTCTACCATAAGGCTACCGTGACCGGTAACACCACAGAGAATCATTTATAATAAATTTTACAGGGCGAAATTTTGTGATGCTTATTCATGAATTAGGAAGCATCTGAATACCCACTGAATGCGCTAAAATAAGTTTAATATTTCCATAAAGAATCTTTATGACTTTTTTCAAATATATTACCATTATGACATGCTAATAGAGCTACTTGAATTATGTGAAATAATATTATATTTTTTTAAATCATTTGATTTATTTACAAAAATTATAAAATATTTTGAACAATTGAAAATTATGACATATCTTATACATTAGATACTAAATAAAAGAAAAACCAAATTAAAGATGTTTTAAAAGACAATTTCAATTATATATATCATTCTAATTTCTATTTTGTGTAAATTATGTCTTTCTATCATGTTCTATAAGTTATTTTATATAAAGTCATTACTTAACATTAAAATCAATGCACAATAAATTATTACTTACCAGTGAGGGAGTCTCGATGTACCACTTTGTATATATTTGCTGTGTTGTTGTTGAGTGACCCAACCCAAAGTTTGTGTGTTTTTTCATAATAACATAGACCAAATGGTCTGTCTATGCCGTGCTGTGGAGACAGTATCTGTGACAGAAATTCACCGTTACAGTTAATTATATGTATTGACTGTGTTTGATCATCACACACCAGGATATGTGACAGGGCATCTGTACAAATTCCATGTGACCATAATCCTGATCCTGATGGAGGACCTGTGTATGAGAAGCGATAGTTACCCCTACGATCTGTTACCACTACACCATAATAATAGTCAGATACAATAACATCTCCATTGCGGTTCTCTGTGATGTAGATAGGTAGACTATACAATCCCATAGCTGTTATTTTGTCATGCTGTATGGTGTGGATGTTTTCTCCTGAGGAGTTATAACGGACTACCTTGCCTGTCCATGGATCAGTATCACACATCCCGACCATCAGATCTCCAGTGGTGGGGGAGCTGTAGACACACAGTGGTATCCATGGTGCTGTGTTGTACTTTATTAATGTTGTCTTGTCTTTGTTATCTGTAGACAGTTTGTTGATGTTGTGCTCACTGTCAATGTAAATTAGATCACCGTCAGAGTTCACGGTGTGTACTCCCCATCCACAACCTACATCTTTCAGCTGCTCTAGTCTATGACCTGTTGAGTTTGTCAGGATAAGATTGTACCAATCACTGATCCAGACCCGGTCTGGCGATACACATGAAATATGACGACCATGATTAACACCTGTCACAGTGACAGATTTCTGAAATACTAATCTATACATCGTTGACAGCAGATGATCATTTTCTGAATTGGTCTATTTCCTGGAAGTCAGTTTACGACAGATTCATGTGTTGCAATCAGGGATATTTGTCTGTAAAATACAACAATGAGCATACATTTATAATGTATCTATTCACACTCTTTGTACGGTAATTCTTTACATCAATAATTCGATATAAAGATGTATCTTTTCATTTTTTATGTATATTTTATTTATTTATATGTTAACTTCTTTATTATAATAATAAATAATTTATTAAATAATATTTATGTCAATACAGTCCCTGAAACGTTCTACTTTCCCATTTTTCCGTTCGCTCACCATTCGTTCACTGTTCGTTCACCGTTCGCTCAGTGAGCGTTCACTGTTCGCTCTTCGTTAACTGTATTGCGTTCACCTTCACAAAACGTTCACCGTTCGCTCTTCGTTCCGTTTTACTTTGCGTTCACCGTTCAGTTATCGTTCTGTCGTCATTGTCATTCGGAACCCCGAAGTGAAAGGGTTTACCTCTTTGATGGTAAGGATTTTTACCTTTTTATTTTATTAACATAGATATCCTGATTGAAGAATAATTATTTCATTGCAAATATTATCTATCATATTAATATTTCTATTATTGTAACTCAGCTGTTACTTATTTCATGAAATTTCCCTGGAAAATAATACATGTAGTACCTACATGTATGTAGAACGATGCTAAATATTAATTTTAAAAAAGGGCAATATACAAATGTTTCACGCGCGGCATCAATTTGTTGTAATTTTAAAGAAGACAAATTATTAGTGGATGTATAATATATAATCCACGTTTTTTAGAGGAAAAGAATACATAGAAAAATATTTCTACAGTAACACGTATTTTAACTTCATGTAGGTTTGAGAATTATGAACACTACTGCAAATATTCAGTTAATTTACTATCTTTAGAGCAAATTAAATTGATTGTGTGATTTTAAATTTTAGAAAAGACCAACTGTTTGAAATAGTCTATTATTAGAAAAGGAAAATTCCTTCCTTCATTGTACATAAACATATGTTTAAATATATATTTGCCAATCAGTATAATTAAGACCTCCCCCAGATGCCTTTTCTTCCGAAATAAAATTCTTAGTGTGTTGTTTCAGTAAATTTTACTTCATATTTTATGTTTATTGTAACACAAGAAAATCAGTCTTAAAACCAACATAAAACGGTCATTAAACAATAGTATTTTTGAATAAATTTGTGTCGACAGTTGTGTTTAGAATTGGCAGGGAATATGTTTTATATTCAATTTAGAACTTAATCTTTCCAAGTATATAATTCCATTATTTATTTTTTTTCTGCAGGAATACAAAAATAAGAAATAGAAATAAAAGGGAGAAATATAAAAACTTCTTGGAAATACTAAGTGACTCTTTGCTTACGGCATGTTTGGTGAAACGCGATTTCCTCACCTCCATTGTGTCGAATGATTTTGATTGACAGGACAAGCACTCTACTAGCAGGTGGTATTCATGTGAACTGTGTGAACTTGATGATGGAAAATAAAAGCCATTGATTACTGGCAAATGGATTTGTTAATCTAAAAAAGAGATTACCTTTACTGCTTAGAATATTTAAGAAAAATATTAAGAATTTTTATTTGATGCAACAAATATCTGACACTTGAGGGGTTTATCTCTCTCTCCGTCTGTCCGTCTGTCTCTCTCTCTCTCTCTCTCTCTCTCTCTCTCTCTGTCTCTCTCTCTGTCTCTCTGTCTCTGTCTCTCTCTCTCTCTCTCTCTCTCTCGTACATTTCTCTATTCAATAAAATCTATGACAGCACATTACTTATTTAGTTTTGAAAATTTAATCTATTACAAATAATTTGAATGCCTCTTTCCAATATCTTGACCGAGATTAATGTCTACAGATACAAGCAGAATTAGCTAAAACAATCATTATAAAAGAATTCAAAAGGCACATAAATATAAAATACTTTGCATTAGAATTTTAATAAAAGGGGAGTTTTTATGCAGTACCTCAACAGATAATTGTGAATTTTAAAAAAAAAAATCCTTTATTTTACTCAGAATCCCCTTGTCACGGAAATACATAATTATATGGTTGTCTCAACCGCGCAAAATGTAATTAATTCATAGTTAACGTAGTTTTAACTTTAGAAGTCTTTTTATTTCATTAGTAAAAAGAATAAGAAAAAAGAAATGATAAGAACATTTACATTATAAATATATCAATTTTATATTTAATCTACACGCTTTCGGTAACAAATATACATGTTTTACGGCAATTAAAATCGTGTTATAAAAATATCGATCTAAAACATAGGTACATATATGTACAGAAAAAAAAATGTTTTTATATCATTTATTTATTTATCTATCTATCTATTGTTTATTTACATTTAAGCACCTGAAACTAGAATTATAGAATAATAACATAATCTGAATGCAAGGAAAAGATAGGAGGCATTCCAAATAAATCCTTCATCTTGCGTACACCGTTCGTTCACCGTTCAGTTTGCGCTCGCGTTCGCGCTCTGTTCGTGTTCTGCGTTCACTCACTGTTCACCGTTGACACATCGTTCACCAAGTTGCGTTTAGCGTCCGCACATCGTTTACCCACCGTCGGCTCTGCGTTCGTTCAGCGTTCGTTAACCGTTCAGGTGGGATTTCAAGTAGAACGTTTCAGGGACTGTATATAATTTAATATTTTCTTGCTTTGCAGGTTTACATGATTTTGTTATCATTATGTGTTATAAGGGTTTCTAAATGACAGTTTTTTAGCCATCAATCTTTTTTTATATAATTGTTCTATTACTTGTCTGTCTTGTTTGACATCTGTAGTTGAAAGTAAATTGTTTGCATTTGATGTTAATTCTTGACGTTCTTGACATTTGTTTTCTGTCTCACGATATCATACTTGTCATCAACGTAATGTTTTAGATCTTAGGATTGTGTTTTTTTAATTTGTTAATATGCTTAGCTCTACAAATCTTAATGTTGTTAATTAATGTAACTCGGATTACCCCTGTTCATGCAATTTTCTACCATTAATTTAATTGGCTAGTCAGTACGAAAGTGGGCGGAGTTATCAAAGATCAAATGTGAGTGAGTTTGTTGGTGAGTCAGTCTAGGAACATTCCTCGTTAAATTCGTTTTTTTTCCATCTTAAATGTATTTGTAAAATTTATATTCTTTACTTACAATAAATTCTTAACTTTAAAACGGATTTATCAATTCACAACAATATTCCAATGCAATTAACGTATTCCTCTCTTTTTTTATTATTATTTTCATACATGTACGAGGGATGATCGAAAAGTTATGAAACTATCTCTATATTTACAAAGGCACGATTCAGATAAGAATGAAATTTTGACACACTATAGTAATACACATGTTCTATAAAATAGAATATAAAAAAGTAATGATTTTCTCAATCATTGTGACGTCACAATATGAAAAAGTCATCAATATGTCGTGGTTCGTGACGAAAAATTGATGTCACAGTCTTACTCGAGAAACCAACGGCTGTAAATTTTAACGTATAACTTGGTAATATTTTTAAGTATCTTAAACATGTAATGATTTGTACAAGGTTTATGTAGACAAACAGACTTTTCAAAAGTTAAATAATAAATTGGATTTATTGTTTAAGTGAAAGAGGTGGCGTAAAAAAATGAAGTTTGTTTTGTACATGTAGCCCAGCGAAAGCAAGCTGGGGAAGAGATGTGTCCTTTTCTAGCCAGTATGTTTTAATAGATTGCAAAGTTACAATTAGAAAAATGGTTGAATATCTTAAATGTTACAATACTATTATTATTAAATCCCTAAATTATCGTTCAATTTAGACTTTTCACATATTAAAAATGATACAAAAAAAGAATGCCCTCGTACTAAATACTAGTATCCATATTGGATAAACAACGTTGCTAGGACAGAAGACTCGGGTTGTTTTGGTTAACATGTTATTTCTGGAAAAGGATATCCTTATCCAAGTCCTTTCTAAGCTTTGGACATTTCTGACAAATGGACTGTTTTGTTATAAAAATCAACTTACATGGTAGGACATATAAGACTCGGAAAAATATTTTGGCCTTAGACTATGAACAGAAAAAAAATGAACAGTGAAATATAATTCCATTTGTTTTATGAAAGTATTTCAATCTTTTCGGCGCCGTGGGGATCCGGGTTAGATTAGGTCCTCAGTACTCCCTTGATTGTGGTAAAAAGCGACTAAATGGGGCGGTCCTTCGGATGAGACCGTATAAACCGAGGCCCCGTGTCACAGCAGGTGTGGCACGATAGAGATCCCTCCCTGTTGAAAGGCCGTAAGTGCCGAGCATAGGCCTAAATTTGCAACCCTTCACCGGCAATGGTGACGTCTCCATATCAGTGATATATTTTGGAGAGGGACGTTAAACAATATACAATCAATCAATTAATCAATTTGTTCGCAAATTTTTATTGATCCCCCTTTGACCTTTGTACATATAATTTAGGTAAAAAAAATTATACAGTCCTTAATCAATGATGGTTCTTATCAAGATGATAAGTATATGGAGTTAAAAAAGCAAATTGGACAGGTATATCAATTATATAATGAATCATATTACCGAATGTTCTACAAAATGTTCAATAGGAATTGGTGCTCCATTGACATGAAATAATGCTAGCTCATTCAAATGACATCACATCACATGTACCTTGAGAATTTTCTTCATTTTTCCTCGTCTTTAATTTTCCATGACTTACTTCTTTTCTCTGGACTTTTTCCGGTCTACTTTGGATATTTTGTCTTAGCTACCTATTTGTGATTGAAGTTCACAGCAGACTTTTTATCCTGGTTGGCATGCCTAGATTATACATAAATATGCATACAAGAGCCTCAATTTATTAATAAACATAATTGAAATATAATTATGATCTAATTACCCATGTCTCGTTTAATTTTGCACCAAATCCTTCATGTCTAAAGAGTGCCTAAGTTAAGATTTTGAAAGAAAAATGCAATTA